TTTGGAGATGTAGAAAACTTAGTGAATTTGAGACTTCTTCATCTGTATTCTTGAGTCTCAAAAGCTGGCATCACTAGACAGTATTTCAGAGTATTCCACTGCTTAAACTAAATATGAGCCAAAGAGTAAATCGTACAGTCGTGACAGATTGCGTTGCTTCAGGTCTGACTACGGGTGCCTACGTGTTTTCCAGCTGGGCAGGCTGCCCTCCTTGCGCAGGAGCAGGCAACGTGCCGTCCTTCCTCCGGGCGACTGGTGCTCCTGGAGGGCGTCGCTGCGAGCTGCTGCCAGCGTCCCTGTACAAGTCCCTCTGCAATCCCAAGCTTCCTGTGGGAAGTAGGGTGGCCTGGGTGCTCAGGGTTTCTTCCAGAGTAATCCCACAGCCCGATTCTGGTACCTTCCTTTCTGGTGGCAGTTTGGGAGTGCACAGAGCAGGGTGAGGCTGGCTGAATTATGTTCGTGGTCAAAATCTCTTTACACGTTTTGTAACTAACTACGTTTGTGTCATGGGACACGGGAGAAGCAGCGTGCTACTGGGAAACACGATGATTAGGTTGTCCCCAGAATTAATTACCTGGTTTGCAACTTGCACAGATCCCTGGTAGATGAGGGTTGTGTGTGGTCTGTCAGTACGCAGTTCTGGCCTTGGCTTTAAGTAGCTGCCAAGTCTTTTCCTTGGGAGGTAAAGGGTAGGTGCAAGTGTTTGTGTTCATCAGCGCTTGAGTAAGTGTGCGTTAAGGTCTGGTAAACATTATTTAAAACTTACTGTATAGAAGAAATCCACTCAACATATTACAGGGTGAGTCTGACTAGAGAAATGCTGTGCAATTCATGTCATCAAAGTGCAATAAAAATATTTTTTCATAGTAATTCTTTGTGAAGTAGCACATTGCAATTGTACACTTGGGGGAAAAATAATTTTTAAGGAACAGGGCAATCGCTGGTAATTCTTCTGTAATGCCTAGCAGTGCAATTAGTCTGGTTTGGCACCGGTTCTGACAAGTGTTTTGGTTGTAGGTACCTCCAGAAGAAATCTCCTATCTGACACGAATTCACTACAAGGCCAAGTCTGATGGGATCTGGGGTGAACATGAGATAGACTATATCTTATTTGTACAGAAGGACGTAGCGCTGAATCCCGACCCTAATGAGATCCAAAGCTACTGCTACGTGACACAGAAGGAACTGAAACAGCTCTTGGACAAAGCCTCCAAGAATGAAGTTAAGATTACTCCATGGTTTAAACTAATTGCAGAGACCTTTCTTTTTAAGTGGTGGGATAACTTATCTAACTTGAACAGATTTGTTGATCATGAAAAAATACACAGAATGTGAATAGCTGGGGTAAAAGATGCTGAAGGCTAGCAATGATGTGCTGTCTCTTTAACACTATGGTAACTTGTGACTCTTGAGTGCAGGAAAGTGATCTGTCTGGAGCATGTTTAACAAACAACTTTATACAGAGATGATTATAGCTGATGTTTTTAGTTCTCTCTTCACCTCCTCTTCCCCCCAGCCCTGTTCCTCCTGGGCGACTTAAGCTTAATCTCATGTAAAATGAGCAATGGTAACATAAGAAACCCCTGGGTTCATCTTTCTCCATTACTTTGTGTGATACAAAAGATCCTCAGCCTGTGCGTGTGCCCAGTGTGCACTTACGTCCCTGCGTAAGTACGTACGCTGGCAGGGGAGTTGGGCGCCTCCTGCCCAGCTCGTCGCGTAGAGCACGTACGTTCCCAACCGTACGTGACTACCCCTTCTGAAACAGCGATGACAAAAGCATTTGAGTTCTGCATTGATGTTGAGAAGACTAGTTGCCTGAAGAAAAAAACCCATTAGTTCAAAGTAATCAGGATGATTTTAATTGCAGAAAGCAATTATCTTCAGCTACCATACTCTAATCAAATACATAAAAGCTTAAGTAATTGGATTGTTGGTGTGGACCGAGTTTCCCTTTAAAGTGCTGCGCTGTGTCACAGCTTTAGGTAACAAACACTGGGGGGTTGGTTTGGTCCCCCCACCACCCTTTTCTGGTTAGTTGATGACTGAGTACTGGACACCTCTAAAAAAAAAAAAAAAAGGTTAATTATACCAAATGTAAATGGTACCTATAATATAGGAAGTAGCCCGTCTTTGGAGAAGGGACTCTTCTCCATCTTCCAGAAAACAAAGGCATCTTGATAGAAGCTTTTTTTCCTGCAACATCTGCTGCAATAGTCATTCCCAGACAACTCAAACCCCTTGAACTCCGAAATTCAAGATTGACAGTTTATGGGCTTAGATCAGGTCTTAATTTCAGTTAATCAGAAATTGTACCATAGTGTAAGAGCCAATCCTTTTTGATCTTGCAGTCAATTGCTAGTAATGAGTAAAATGGAAGGCTTTTTTTATTAAGACAAATAATCAAGGGTGTCTTAGTTTGAATTAAAGTTTTTTGGGTTTGTTTGGGGGGTTTTTGCCCCCGAAAAAGCTTAATTGTGGTTTCTTCTGTTAGCAGACTACTCAATCTAGATTTCTTAAGTTAACTTCTCCCAGAGGTGTCTTGATGAAATAGGATGTTGTTCATGCCACTTCTCCTTGCATGTAAAACAGGGTTGTAATTAGTCTGTGTCTGGTTTCAAGGTGAAACTAAGTTTTTCCAGTGGTTAACATGTTTCTCTTTCTCATCGCAATTGTGACTGCAGCACTGAAGCTTCCGTGCGCCAGCATCTCCAGTGGTTCCACACTGAAAGGTGCCAGAGCCGAGGTTCTTGTACGGTGACCCGAATTGCTGCATTGTCTTAAAGCAAATAGTGGGTGAGGGAACAGTGATCCGGTGTAACGGCTCTCCGGGATTCTGCGCAATCGGCCACATTACTTAAGTAATATATTAGACTACTTTTCAAATACTTAAAATACTTTTAAAATAAAGGATTATCTTACAGATAAGAGTGTGATTAAAGTACCTAGCCTAAAACCTTGGACTGATGTTTTCTTTTCAGACTTTGGGCCACATGGAGAATCATCTCTGTCATCACCACACTGTAATCAACAACATCCCTATTAAACGTTGCTGAAGCAGTATGATTGGGGGCAGGAGGGCACGCGTTTATTTTAACAAAGTTCCGCTTTTCTCGTTCAGATGGCCAGCTTGGAGCAAAAGCTGACAAAGCATATTCTGAAGTAGAAATAACGTGCGTAAGGAAGCTGAAAGCAAAGTTTCGCTAAACAGTTCTTCAAAATTCCTTAGAAGTTTTGACATTAAAGTTTTTCTTGACATTGAACTCCTTTGCAGCATTACAGTGTTTTTAATGCTGAATTTATTGCACAAAGTCGATGAGGGCAACAATGTGGATTTACACGTAATGCTCCAATCTGCTGAAGTTGACATCTGAACACTCTTCTTACCCTGCTGTATTTAAAAATAGTTTAAAAAAAATAATCATTTAAGGATTCTTCCCCCTTTTTGGGTTTTTGTTTGTTTTTAACATGCGTATTTCATTAGATTCCAGTTTAGTCTTTAAAATTGTGCATTTTAAGTATTGTTCAGGCAACACATTTATAATGCATCATTTTACTAACGTCTAGATAATTCCTACCTTTTTCTTGACCAACTAGGGACAAAAAGGGAATATTTCACATTTGACAAAATATTTTGCCTTGAACAGATAGACAGATTTTTTTTATCAGCTTCTGAAGAGAAAAATGTCTTCCTAAGCAGAGGATGACCATAGCAACTCAGGACAAAACTTCAGTCTGATCCTCATTTTCTACATATCTGAAATACTAACATTAATCTGAAATATTCAAAGTTGTAAGCGGTAACCTTCCCTGCCCATGCTGGTTTAGGTTATTACAGCTGGCAGGTCAGCACTAAAACTGCCATTATTCCTCCAGCTTCGGTCACTGTGTAGCTCAGTACCTGGCAGTATTTGTCCCATTCAGTCAAAGCGGTGTCCTGGTTCAGCCCGTCAGCAACCAGCACCGCACAGCCGCTCGCTCACCCTCCCCGCGGTGGGATGGGGGAGAGAATCGGAAGGGCAAAAGTAAGAAAACTCGTGGGTTGAGATAAGAACAGTTTAATAATTGAAATAAAATAATAATGATAATAGTAATAAAAATTGTAATGAACAATGAGAGAAAGAAACAAAACCCAGGGAAAAAAAAAATGATGCAACAGCTCACCACCCACCTACTGACGCCCAGCCAGTCCCCGAGCAGCGATCGCCGCCCCCCGGCCAACTCCCCCCAGTTTCTATACTGAGCATGACGCCATATGGTATGGAATCGCCCTTTGGCCAGTTTGGGTCAGCTGTCCTGGCTGTGCCCCCTCTGAGCTTCTCACTGGCAGGGCATGAGAAGCTGACAAGTCCTTGAGTAGTGTAAGGAATACTTTTAAAACATCAGTGTGTTATCAACATCATTCTCATGCTAAATCCAAAACACAGCACTATGCCTGCTACTAGGAAGAAAATTAACTCTATCCCAGCCAAAACCAGGACAGCGAGTTCAGTGCGTGCCCACTAACTTTGCACAGTACCTGTCAGTCTCCCATTGCTTCCCTGCCCACTTCAGGTTTCACCTGCAACATAAACTCCTCACTTACTGTACATCAAAGAATTTGCCTCCACATACAAAACTGAACCTTACTCATGCAGTACCTTGCGAAACTGTGCATTTTGAACTCTGATGGTAGCTTCATCAACAAATACTTCACATTTCCAGATTTAACCTAGATTTATCTAGTTTTACATAGAACTTCACATGCTTTACTGCTACATGAAAGTCAGTAGTAAGAAAATGGAACAAAGTGGTATTTTTTATGTCTATTTAGAAATGGTTTCTACCACTGGTATTGACAAATTTCTCCTGGTATTACTTGGAACTGCAAGAAGATCAAGGTATCAGAACTTTCGCTCTCTGAGCTTCAAGTATCTTAACCACTAACACAAACCACGTACTTTTTAAACACTCTATATGACTAAAAAGGAAAACAAGACTAGAAGTTAGTTTGAATAAACTTAGTTTTAATCAGTTTTAATTCAGAAGACTCCTTATCTTCTCTGTGTTTTACCAGATTTTCTCTTTCCAGCCAGCAGATGCTTTGGCTTCAAGTCAAATATGTGTCTGTCCGACTCTCCTTTCCTGCCCAGGCGATTCATTTTCTTCTGAGCTTTCTTTGCCATGGTCTTGACCTTCTTCACCATCTATTTAAAAACAAACAAGCAAACAAACATGCAGAGTAACTTCCTCAGTAACTCAGGTAACTAGCTTTACCTTTTAAAAAACCACTCAGCTCGATGATCTTAACAAGGCCATTAGCTAACGCCTAACATAGGCCACCACCTGCGACTCTGGAACAGTATCACTGCAAGCAACTCTAATCCTCCTCAGCAAAACTCTTCTTTTTCCAGAACACTAACAATACAATCGCACTACCCCTGGAATTCCTAACTCACTGAAGGTGGAACTCCACAGTTTGTAGAACTTTTTTCACACTTGCATTTAGAGACAAAAAATTTAAAATGTAGTTTCTTAGTCTGTATTATCACAACTTATTTTTAAGAATGAACAGGCATTTTTGAAGTATAGAGAGTTCAAACAAACAGAAGATGAAGCTGCAAAGAGAAGAAAGATGAACTCTTGACAAACATAACCAGCCTAGTATGAGGTTTCCCAGAAGCTGATTTAAGTATAATCACACTGTTTTAATTGTTATAAAGGTAAATCATTTCAACAAACCTTTTCATCACGAAGACCAGAAACATCCCGTGGTGTGCGAGAGGAGCTGCGACTGCGTGCCACAGATTTAGATCTAGGGGTTTCAGACTCATCACGTTTACGTTTCCTCGTAACACTACGGGACCTTCTCACATAATGTGCCTGAAATGCCAAACATCACTTTAATCATTAAAACCAGAAACAATCAGCTCAGACATGCTCCATTTCTAATTAGACTAATATGAAAAAACAGGAAGTGGACTGCTGTGACACATCCTTATATTGGTTATTCCATAGTAACATAAAGACCTTGTCAACTGTTGGTCACTGCCTTTCTGTCCTACAGTAATATTCACATTTTGGTGAATATTAGCATATTCTTTTCACAATTATTAGCTCCGGTTTTCTGATTTTTTTCTCAGTAGATTCAAAAGTAATGGATAAAAAGACACAGACAAATTACTGGAAAGCAATACTGAAGCAATTTTGCAACAGCAAGCAAGCAATGAAGAAACCTACCCTGCTTAGTGTCCTCTTTGCAGGACAAAGCCCTAAAGAATTTCAGACCTGAAGACTCATCTTCCTACAGTGTTAAGTATTAAATTCCACCTCACTGAGATCGCTCCTAAATCGAGATGGCATGTCAGCTCTGAGAAGCACAAAAGCTTGCTTCAGACGGGTAGTGTTGATATTCCTTGTTTCCTAACTCCTCGTTTAGTGAAAGAATTTGAGGTCTCAAGATCTAGACAGCCATAATACTGCTGGATTTGCTGTACAAAACGGACTTTTTTTTTTAAAATTTCTGATAAAATGAAACGTCTCCTGAAGGCAAATCCATGTTTGAAGTACTTCAGCTGCCTTACATCTAAAGATCCCAGTTGCCCCCAAAAACTTCACTTACAACTCACAGAATTAATGAACTGTAAAAAGATAAGCCTGATCTGTCATTATTACCATTTCTGACATAGCAGTCTCATCCAACAAAGCAGACTTGAAAAATAAGAAGCATGTTTAGACAAACCCCATTCTTGAATCCTATACAAATTCCAAGAGAGTTCTAATAGAAAGCAGTGCATGTATGTGACTCTTGATAAATGTTAGTTTATTTTTTCAGCCTACCCAACATGTTTTGATCACATCATGCAAAAATCCCAGTATCAATTGCCTCATCTGCATTTCCTATTTTCTCCTTAATAGATCTCACTTCTCTCTTGTGCCAACTGTAATATGCATTTCAAATGCGCTCAAAGAAATTTAGCATGTAATAAAACTGATCTTCTTTAGATAAACATTGTGTTTAATTAGCAAAAACTTACATCATCTTTATTAGTCATGTCGAGTCCAAGATCAGTCATTTCTTTCTCTAGCACCTTCCGCTGGACCTGGAAAAACACAGTTAAGAAAACACGTTTATTTCAAAAAAGTATGGTTCTATCTCATTTTTTTGCCTTAATATACCACCATAAGCCCATTATATTCACTACATATTTATTCCTTTGGCACATCCCACAAGCAGATGATAAAAGTGTTAACTTCACATTTCATTTATTGCACCTTAATTCTCTTCACCCTTAAATCCTTTTTCACAGGACTGCAACATCCCAGCATTCCCTAAAGATTGTTCAAATAGTTTGCCTTTTTGGGGGGAAGGTGACAAAGAGAGGTATTTCAGTCAGAAACATTTCCTTCTCTCCCAAAAGGCACACATTTTGGGAAAGATAAGAAACATAGGGTGCAAAATCAGCAAGATTCATTTTCCCAAAATGCCCACTTATCAGTTCGTTATTCTGCAATCGTCTTGGACTAATCACAAGAGATTCTGACATTAGAAAGTGATATCTAGCTTCCAAAAAGAAATACATATAATCTTTTCCAGCATAGAGGGCTCCGTAACAAGTGTTACATCATTTTAAGTGTATAATTCTCCTAATTCTTTGCATTTAAAATAACAATACAAAAAATACGATGCAGCAATCCAATTAAATGAGCTGAATTGTATTCTTCACAACTTTTTCTAAAACACATATGAAATTTTACAAAAGACTCACTTGTGTGACACAAAACAAAAAGGGCTGCTATCACTCATTTGGTTTGGCCTCCACAACTAAGTAGTGACCAGAACTCCTAGGAGCACAGAAGGAAGCAAGTAGCAAGGGAGAGAGCCAAACCTGAGAAAAAGTGATCAGTTCCACTCCCCAATATTGTTACACGTTTTTGTAAAGTTATTATACAACAGCAAGATTTTACTACAGAATGTCTATACTTGCCTTTTTAGCTGTTCTAGGCATCCTCGGACCTCGAGTATCTTTCTCCTTTGACTGCAGGATTTTCAGTTTCTTCTTCTCTCGGATCTGTTGTGCCAACTGTCGGATTTCCATCATTTCTTCATCTTCACTTTCTGGTTCACTGTCATATTCTCCAGCAGCCTCTCTCAGCTCTTCCTCCTTCTCCAATTCTTCCAGTTTCTTAGATTTTGAAGAGATGAAATGAAAATCAAGATGCTCATCAAATCCTTGACTTACAATCCTCAACATTACATTTTTGCATGGCCCAGGGCCATGACAGCATGTAGACACTTCAAAGAAGGAACTATGTTTACTTGATAACAACCCCTCCAGCCACACTTAATGCAGCTGGTGATACAGATTACTGTGAAGCTATGGAGCACGCTACTATGCAGACTTACTTGATCACATCGCGTTCTAGTCTGGCTGTATTTGTGTGACTGCCCCGAAGCTGCCCACTGCGTGACTGCAGATGTACCTTACTGTGAACTGTCCTAGCTGTGCTGTTTCTGGAAACACGCTCTGAAAAAAACCCCTCTCTTTCTACACTCAGCGTGAGTCTGGAACACCAGCAATTCCGATGAACCCAACTGTAAAACCAGCAGGCTCCACTGTCTGCACTCACTACTCATTAACAACCAGCAAGAGATAAGAACAGTGCTTGTTATTAAATAAAAATGTTATAAATTGAGAATACAGTCCATTTCCTTTAACATCATACTCCAGTAGACATAAATTTGATGGGTGAATTTCATATTATTCACAATACATAAAGTTTGATAGCTATATTCCTTCTGGCTGTAGTCAGTGAAGACATGTAACTTCTGCAAACCTTGTATTTTAAGATGGAAAAGATAAGGCCACCATCATTCTAACAAGGTAAAGCAATTTTTCATTCTTCTGAAATTCTGTCTTTGATCATTCAGAAAACAGTATCTTTTCCCATGGCAAATACACACAATGTAAAAGAACTTGTTCTCATGGCATACTGTTTTTAATCTACAAATACAGTAATTTACACCAAACAAATAAAGGGATAAAGAGGCAAGAAAAGTGCAAAAACAACAATGGAAAACTCACTCTCATTATATCCGGATCAATGTAGTCAAGTATATTATGACCTTCCCATATCTCTGGTATCTTATCATATTTTTCAGATGAATTCATTAAGTCCCAGTATTCTTAAAAATATAACAAAAGTTAATAAAGAGACAAACATAATTTCAAAGAGCGTTCAATGATAGAAAACAACACTTAGATCACAATTAAAAAATAAAAGCCATATCCCTAAATAGCAAGAGTTTGACAGCATCTCTGACATATCCAAATACTTCTGATCCCCTTCCTACTGCCAAATATTGTTCAATAATTTCAAGATCCACTGCCAAGCCATAATAAGCAACAGATACCCAGCTGAATCAGAATACATGCAATCTCTCTCACATTGGTACTTTCTTAACAAAGAGAGCATCAAGAATTAATGAGAGAGCATAATATAAAATAGAAGGGAAAAACCATTTGAATCATCAGACCAGTCATTATGTATGTGACTCTAAAATGGGAAACAACCGAGTGACACTACGAAACAAGGAACAGTCACTGAAGATCACCAGTTCTGGAACAGAAGTAAAGGACAGTATGCAATAAAATGGTGGCACTGGTACTTAGTTGAAAGGAGTCAGGTTTAGGTATTCTCCCTTAAGACTGAAATAGCCAAACTTCAGTGCTTAATAATACTGATTCTTATATAATACTTACTCTGAAGATCCAAAACATAATCATCTCCCATTTCAAGTTCAAGATCTCTCTCCTGGAAAGACACACATGGCTTTATATACCATCTATTTTAAATCTATGGGCTAATATAGCAAATCTAAAATCCAGCTGCTGATCTCCTAATTAAGAGATGCCACTTACCAATTTCCTCCTGGGTGTGTCTACTTCCATGCGTTTCTTACGTGCTACTGCTCCCTCAGGTATAAAAGGCAGCCGCTCCTGAAATTAATGTAAAATCCACCCCAATAAAAAACGGGGAAAAATCCAGTTGGAATCAGTTTTATTATAATGCCATAAATCACCATTGCAGAGTAATGTATTTCTAAAGAATTCACAATCCCAAGCTGACTCACCCACCAGCAAAGGCAGTTATAGATAAAAAGCAAGCAAATTTCACCGTATTAATCTGTTCACATGTTAAGATGAGAGAATTCTTATCTTACTTAAAAAGTACTGGGAAATACACTAAAAAGTGTAAACATGTAGCCTACCTTGTTATCTCTTTTGGTTGGCATGGCCAAGTGTAATCTATTCAATACTTCATTCACTTTATTTCCTTTCATTTTAGTATCAACACGATGTGCCAACAGTCTGTCACAGGCCTGAAAATGCACATGGCAACATTACATAAGGAATAAAGCCTTCCTGATACAACAATGACACAGTAGGCTTTCAATCCCAAATATCTAGTTTCACATCTCATCTTCTGTCTAATCTCTTCTCTCTCTAGCTCTCAAAGCATTGAATTCATTGAATTACTTTACATAAGAAGTATCATGGGAAGATGCGTATGATTTTTTTTTTTTTTTTACAATGAGCTGAGAATAAGAGAAAACAACAGGACTCAGAAAAATCTCACTTTTTTTTTTTTAAATTATTATTTGTATTAGACATAATTTTCCATTTGCACCCAAGTCCACTGAGGCTCAACAGGCTATAAAGCATCACAAAGTTTACATGGACTTTAGTAAAGCCTTTGACACCATTTCCCACAGCATTCTCCTGGACAAACTGGTTGCTCATGGGTGCACTCTTTGCTGGGTAAAAAACTGGCTGGGTGGCCAGGCCCAGAGAGTTGTGGTGAATGGAGTTAAATCCAGCTGGTAGCCAGTTACAAGTGGTGTTCCCCAGGGCTCTGTATTGCGACCAGTTCTGTTTAGTATCTTTTATCAATGATCTGGA